TTCAATATTTCCTAGTGGGACTGGAAGTGCTTAAAATCATCATAATCTTAATCAACATTATTGTTGTTGCTATAAACATTCAAAGAGACAGATGATGATGATTGACATTGCATTTAAATTTTTGAAGATAAAACTTGACTGGAAAGCAAGAAGCCAGAAGAGATTTCCACAAACTAGAAGTGTGAGAAAAAAGAGTGTTATCATAGAACTTACGGTTACATCTAACCTTTTCAACTGTAAAATAATGAGACCTATCTGCCAATCTAGCACCGTACTTAAATTCATAAAATCTACATATCAAAGAGGAAAGTTCATATTTGAAAATAAAATAATGCCAGGCACCCAGTACAAATTCAAATCATTTCTAATATTATGCTTTCATTAGATAGTCTGTTACACAATCCTTGCTAGCTTTTTGAACAGGAGTAGAGTTTATCCTGTGTTTCCTGTTTAGGATTGAATTTCTGGTTACTTCTAAAGTCTACTTCAACTCTATACTTCTAACATCTCCACCTAAACTCTGAAATTTTATTTAATATTTATTTATTTTCTTCAATAGGAGCAGATAGGTTCGTCTATCGTATGGTTCAAACTCCTTCTCATTTTTTTGAATAGGTGTATCACTTGTTTCCTTTTCTGGGTTGGGTTTCTGATTCCTTCTAAAGTCTTTTCATTCTCTTTCACTCCCAGTAGCCCCTTGTGTCTTAACGATATTATCACCTGGCTTGGGGGGAATTGATGAAAAAAAAAGGTAAGGTTATCCTTCGCCATAATATTATTTTAAAGCAACTTATATATGTCTATGCTGATCAGAAATCATTTGCTTTTTAAATTTAAATCTGTCTTTTATTTTTGTTTGGTAATTCTAACCCTAGTTGAGATTTTTCCAAGAGTTGGAGATAAGCTGCTTTTTGGAGATGGATGTTCTTATCCACCAGATAGAGTGGATCCTTTCCAAAAAGAACTAGGATACAGTTAAATAAAGTTGTTACCACAAATGGATACTCAGGCATTACAATTAATTTTATTTATGTTTTGGTCCATGTAAATCTGTGTTGGTTAAAATAAATAAATAAATTTGTCATCATTGCTTATTTTTTTATTATTCATTTTTTTTCACAAAATGACTTTCTTTTTTTTTTTTTTCCTTTTGTTCTTTTAAATAAAATCATGAAGAATGACTTTGATTTAAACTTGTTTTAAAGAGAATTATAGGTTGACCGTAACACCATAAATTCTATATAGTAATTTTTTGTAATTTTATTACATTGCTAGGCTACCGTATTTGAAGAAAATATCATTTATTTAAGAATATCGGCGATCATACACATGTCTTTGTTCACGGAGAGGGTAACAATTTACGATTTTTATTTCATATGTTCTTTATTTTCTCCATTTCTTAAGTATATTATGATGACTTAAATATTAACTAAGGTTTTGGAATTAATATATATTTATTTTTATGTCTGTGTGTGCGTGTCTTTTTTTCTTAGTTGAATGAAAGAAATATTCAGCCCGTAAGAGAAAAAGAAAAAAAAAAGACTCTTCCGGTTTAAGCTCTCCGCCATCTTGAGTGTGGCAAGGTCATCGGGCTGAATGTCGATAACATGCATGAATGGTTTTATTTTCATGAATTTAGCCGACAGATCCGAAATGATTTATGATGCGTAAACGAAATAAATGATAATGTAAAAAAAAAAAAAAAAAAAAAAAAAACGAGTTGAAATTTTTTGAAATAAGGATATTTTTTTAAAAATGATTTCTTCTCATTCAATAAGGGTGCCATGATAAGTCTTATAAGTCCAGGGTTTAAGACTTAAAAGATTTAATGTTCCATATTTAGCTCCTGTCTTCAATCAGCATTTTTAATATGTTAATTAAAGACAGAATCTTAATTATTATTATTTATTAGCATTGAGTGAAAGGGCAGCTCACTGACAGTGACGTGCAAAGGTTTGGTGATCCCTGATACCCGGGGCCAACTCCTTGATTGTATGTCCCTAACACTCAAATCGGGGATGGGAGGATATAGGGCCTAGTACTGAGAAATGTGAGAAAGGAAAACGTTTTCAATATGTATAAACAGATGAAACAAACACTTTATTCAAATTATATATAAACTAAATATTTATTTCATTCTTTAATTGGATGTCCTCACAATATGGATGCTCGGAGCCGACGCACCCTTTGCCACCATTCTTCTACACGCTACTGCTCGCTACTAAAGTAATGCCGGGGTATCAAATATACATAGCTCAATATGCCCATCATGACACCCAGGCTGATAAGTGTATACCAGAGACATGCACCACAGCCAAATGCGTGTTATATGTTGACAAGTTTTGATAAAAGCAGATGGAATCTCGCCGGGTTAGAATTATCTTCAAGTCCGTTCAGGCGGTCAGTTTTGTTCTCAAGTATCTAGATGGAGCTCCCAAGTCGACTTGGTTGCCTCATCCTTCAAACTCAACGGCCCTCTCGACACCCGACCATAAAGCTCACCCAATACTCTCGTTCATGAACAGAGGTGCGCAGTACGTCAGTTCCTAGGGTACACACCTATCTTGTTGGGGTCAGGCAACTAACAAGCAAATCTCGGGCACTGAACGGGATATTTACTGCAGCCCATCTTAATTCGCAAACGCAAAACATATACATGTCAATCAATGAAGATCAGAAGCGAATCTTTCATTTCTAAATAATAATCTCCATTCGTACTTATGATTGTTATTGCAATATTTAAGTTGTTAAGCTCAAATATTTAACGATGCAGTGGAGGAATTTCCATGGGTATTTTATGGTCGTAGAACTCGCAAGGGTCTTATTCATTAGAAAATTAAAATAGAAAAACCTAAAATGTTGATGTATATTTGTAGCTAATAAATAGAAATCTCAAAAATATGGCACATGGGAACATCAACAATTCCTGTTGTAATTGGAGCCCTAGGATTGGTTGGAAAAGACATCAATTCCAATTCCTGCCTGATACAAAAATTGGTACAGCCCACACTTTATGAAGGACTTTATCTATGTAATATATTTTTTTTGCAGTGGAAAGTGTCATGATACCATTTTTAACCTTAGGTCCAAACCAAAGGAAAACCAAAAAATAAAATACTAATAATATTAATAAAATTACAGACAGGAAGTTGTGGAGAGCCACGATCACCTATGTCCTGTATGGACACATCACATAAAGAAGTATACCCCTCATGACATCCAGTCATACCAAACACATGCATCACAGCCAAATTTATTCGATATGGTGATAGGTATTGATAAAAAAAAATCGTCCTGTTCAAAAGACCGGGAAGGATTGTGAAGAGGACGATAGGCGAACCTGTCTACTATTAGTGGAGGAGAGAAAAAAATAAAATTATATAGTGAATAAAATTTCAGAGTTCAGGCAGAGACGTTAGATGTTCGGGGCTGAAGCAGATTTTAGAAGGAACCGGAAACTCAGTACTAAACAGGAGATAAACCTATACTCCTGTTCAAAAGTTGAAGAATTAAGATATGAAATTCACATAAGGAAACCACGCAATTTTCACTGGCCTTTCTAGTTATTATTATTATTATTATTATTGCTTATCAAGTCATTTACACAAGACTTGAGGCAAAGAAAGCTATTAAGCATTGAGAATGTTTTTTTGAGTATGTGAGCGATGTTCATATTCAGCCTAATTTGCATCTCAGATATTTAGGGATTTCCTCATTCGTTTAATCATTTCTCTTGTTCCAATGAGAAGATCTAAAGAATTTAACACACGAAAGACATATTGAAGGGAAAATAAACGAATTCGCGTGAACAGAAAGAAAGTTGTGGATAGCCATAATCGCCCATATTCTGAAGCAATTTATTGCTACATAAATGAAGCAATAAATCACCTAAATTTTGAAACAACGAAATGTACACACACACACACACACACACACACACACACAAATTTTAAATACGACATTGCAATTATACCGTCCCCACCCACTCAGTTTAGACAACTGTATCCTGGGCTGAACAATAAATACATAAAATCAGATAGAAGAAACAAATAACTGTAATTTTGAAACCCTAAAAAAATCAGGTAATTATTAAAATTTAATTGAATTTTTCTCAAATTATTCGGTAATAAAAAGAATTATTCATTTTTTAAAAGTTTTTGGGTTTTAGTATCTGTCTGTATTCCTGAGATGAGGTATTATGTACACCATTTACATTATTCGTACTATTGTCCTCATCATTGTCGCCATATTTATTACAACGTTTCGGCCCTTCAGTGTCTGTCTATATTTCTGAGATGAGGTATTATGTACACTATTTACATTATTTTACTATTGTCCTCATCATTGTCGTCATATTTATTACAACGTTTCGGCCCTTCAGTGTATGTCTATATTTCTGAGATGAGGTATTATGTACACTATTTACATTATTCGTACTATTGTCCTCATCTTTGTCGCCATATTTATTACAACGTTTCGGCCCTTCAGTGTCTGTCTATATTTCTGAGATGAGGTATTATGTACACTATTTACATTATTTTACTATTGTCCTCATCATTGTCGTCATATTTATTACAACGTTTCGGCCCTTCAGTGTATGTCTATATTTCTGAGATGAGGTATTATGTACACTATTTACATTATTCGTACTATTGTCCTCATCATTGTCGCCATATTTATTACAACGTTTCGGCCCTTCAGTGTCTGTCTATATTTCTGAGATGAGGTATTATGTACACTATTTACATTATTTTACTATTGTCCTCATCATTGTCGTCATATTTATTACAACGTTTCGGCCCTTCAGTGTATGTCTATATTTCAGAGATGAGGTATTATGTACACTATTTACATTATTCGGACTATTGTCCTCATCTTTGTCGCCATATTTATTACAACGTTTCGGCCTTTCAGTATCTGTCTATATTTCTGAGATGAGGTATTATGTACACTATTTACATTATTCGTACTATTGTCCTCATCATTGTCGTCATATTTATTACAACGTTTCGGCCCTTCAGTGTATGTCTATATTTCTGAGATGAGGTATTATGTACACTATTTACATTATTCGGACTATTGTCCTCATCATTGTCGCCATATTTATTACAACGTTTCGGCCTTTCAGTATCTGTCTATATTTCTGAGATGAGGTATTATGCACATTATTTACATTATTCGGACTATTGTCCTCATCTTCGTCGCCATATTTATTACAACGTTTCGGCCCTTCAGTGTATGTCTATATTTCTGAGATGAGGTATTATGTACACTATTTACATTATTCGGACTATTGTCCTCATATTTGTTGCCATATTTATTAGAACGTTTTCGTCGATGTACGCTCCGGTCATTTTCAGGTGATTGGAATGTCGAACTGAACCCTTTATTTCGCTCACTGGGGTAGACTGTTCTAGTTTTACGTGCCATGTCTAATGGATGTCAGTTATCAGTTATCTCCTGTTAATTCCCCTCTCCAAGTTCTCCACCGCCTTAACTGGGTATTGAACTCACACTCTTTGGGTCCTCTCAGTAGATTTAACTAACGCCCTTATCCAACAATGTGTCCTTGATTTTGGGATTTAATTTTGTAAAAATTCTTTTTAGGTCGGTCATTTTGGTAAAATATACAGGCACACTTGTAAACGTGCACATGAACACGATTTTGATGGCATTGAAATGGATCTATATCACGAGGGATAATTTACATTCTGTCTGGCAACAACAGCTGAGTAACAGGAAAAGGCTATCAGCTAAAATGCGAAGTTATTTTTTGAACTCATTCTCTATTTAAACTGCATATTATCTGTGTAAGTAAAGCGCAGTGTACGTGTGTCCGTCCTTCCGTCCGTTTTTCGATCTCGGCGAATCATAAACAACCGGAAGTAGGTAGTAACTACAGCAATTACATGCGATTAAATATTAAATAAATAACTGATTTACATTTAAAGTTAAATAATGAACAGAGTGAAAGGTTTAAAAAACAATTATTTGTAATTGATATCGTCTAATTAAACCGTAATTAAAAGTAGGGTACGGTACGTTGCTCATGATTTTTTCTCTCTTTTTCTAGCACGTTTACTGTGACGTATTCGAAATATATAGTTCAGGTTCCCTAATCCCTAATGTCTTTTAAGAGTGACTTTATGTGAAGGGATCATAAAGAATGGTGATTGTAAAAGAAAATAAAAATTGCGCGCAAAATAAATGTAAACAAACTACGGGGATTGGTTGTGTATACGAAGAAAGATTATGCCGAATTAAGGTGTCGAATAAAGATAAAATAATTTTATTATTTTAAAAATCTTATAAACTTTTACGTACATAGGACGCTGAAGGTAAAAGTCCGAAGCCCCAAAAGTCCTCTGCGGGACATAGTCTAAAGTCCACCCAAAGGGAGGCTTCTAGGCTAGTTTTCTAATAAATGTCGTATTTTAAATGGACAAACAATTTAGATTTGAAATTTGTTTGTCATGTCGTCAGCGAAGCGATAATGACCGAACAACTTTAATTGTAAAAGACAGGTGATATTGTGTCAAATGTTTGAACAGGGAATCAATTTCATTGCCGACCATTTATGTTGTTTTCTGTAGATATACTTGTAAGCGCGATCTAAGCGCGGGAATCTGAGTGTGTAGACAAAAGAACGTATCACCAGCAGGAATATTCAGATGGGTTCACAGGGGTTTCAAACAGAAAAAGACGACATGGAAAGTATTAGTAACCAGATTTGGCCGAAAAGATTTTACCCCAGGAGACAAGGGGTTACAAGGTGTGAAAGAGAATGAGAGGACTTTAGTAAGGAGAAAGGTCAATAAAAGAACAAAGAGACAGAAGATGGCGATTGACGTAACATTTAAGATTTTTTGAAGGTCGTATCTATCTATCTATCTATCTATCTATCTATCTATCTATCTCAGTCTGTTCATATCTATCTATATATATATCTCAGTCTGTTCATATCTATCTATCTCAGTCTGTTCATATCTATCTATCTATCTATCTATCTATCTATCTATCTATCTATCTATCTATCTATCTATCTCAGTCTGTTAATATCTATCTATCTATCTATCTATCTCATCTATCTATCTATCTATCTATCTATCTATCTATCTATCTCAGTCTGTTCATATCTATCTATTTATCTATCTCAGTCTGTTCATATCTATCTATCTATCTATCTATCTATCTATCTATCTATCTATCTATCTCAGTCTGTTCATATCTATCTATCTATCTATCTATCTATCTATCTATCTATCTCATTTTATTCATATCTATCTAAAGATAGAGAATGAGAAGACTTTAATGATGAGAAGCAAGGAAAAGGACAATAAAAGAACAGGTTCAGGAATACAGAAGATGGCTATTGGCGTTGCATTTTAGTTTGTCAAGATTTTAGGCGGCAGGGAAGCAAGAAACTGGAAGAGAGCTTCACAAGCGAGAAGTGCGAGAAAAGAAACTGTTAGAGTAGAAGTGGCAGTTGCGTCTAGCTAGTTCAACAGTAAAACAGCGAGACCTAATTGCCAATCGAGTAGCACGGTTAAATTCATGTCGTAAGGCACCAATCAGTAAAGCTAATCAGAACTTTCCTAGCAGAAGACTTAGCAATTGATTCAATATAATCGCCCCATTTCATGTCAATGGAAAACGTGAGACCAAGAAGGCGCGATGGGTTGCTCTTCTTGATGTTAGAATCAGCCATGCTATTTGAGGGTAAAAAATGGTGAAAATTGAAAATTGTCTATTGTGATTAAAAGATAACAGTTTCGTTTTGTAGGCGTTAAAATTTGCAAGCCATTTATCGTCTGAGTTAACAACTGATTAGAGTTCATTTTCGAGAGAAGCTACCAGTTTTACGTTGTCGGACCATTCGGACTTACCATTAAGACAGGAGTAAATAGGTATGTCATCAGCATATATACCCAGTTGGGAACTGATGACATTGAGAAGGTCGTTGTGATAAGAAACAATGTATCTTCAAGGATAGAACTTAATGGTCGTTGTCATTCCAGAAACGTGGTATCAGTAAAACAATGAAAGAAACTGAGGTTGCCACATTCTTCGATCCTAATATTGCATCCTTTCCTGTAGAATAACAATACAATAAACAACACTTACCGGCGTAAGAGTCCCAGCTAGCGTCCAGCTGGCAGACAAAAATAAAGCCGGTTGTAACTTAATACAAACCCTGCAAACTAACTGAGAAATCATGCTAGTATTTATATAGAAATACTTCCACTCAGGTACCAGCAGCCAATCACAGCCCAAGCAATGGACTATCCCACTTTAGCATAATGAGATGCTCCATTGCACCATAAATAGCTCTCTTTCTCAATGTTGGTAGTCGAAGCAACAAAGATTTTATAGGCTTGGTGCGAGTGAGAGGTGCTGACCTCGAGTGGTTGTTGGATGCAACTTAGGCAAGAGGATTTTGGGACTCGAACCGAAACATCAGTCAACCCAGCCTGTTTAAGGTAAGATAGGACCTTTTAATCTTCAGTTTTGGCCTCCTCAGGGCTAAATATTTTCCTTTCAACATAGCTAGAGAATGCAAGTACATAAGTCCCCATTTTTTTGTCCCCATTTGAGTTACTTGTCTCCATCCCACCCCACTTTTTAGGTGACAGATGTCTCTTTTCTCTGGATTTCTTTCAAACCAGTTAATTGAGATTTCTGCCACATTTTTGGGTAGGGTCCTACTACTAATATTATTTTGTTTAGTTTCTATTATAAACACATTTTTCATTGTATATAATCATTGGGTTTGTGATTTTTGTCCCCCATCCCTCGATAATTGTGTAAATAAAATTTTCATGTTAGGGCTTTCTCATAGAGAAAATGTGGTATTTTGGTGATTGTGGTGTGACAGCAAGGAGTAAAAGCATTATTATGGTGAAAGGATTATTGTAAGTACGAATGGGTCAAAGAATGAGACTAGTTAGTTTGAGATAGGACTAGAGAAGACCAGTCTTTTCCCCACCCCCTTTTTAGCCCTCGTGGCACATTTGTACCTTTTTGGTGAATAAATAATAAGATTTTATAGGTTTTGAAGTAAACTAAATTACAGGAAAGCTTTTTCTATAGTATTTTTTATTCCAATGTTTTGATCACTTTTGTATTTAGAACAATGAATACATTCTTAAATAGGCGAACCATAAATTAGAACCTTGTGACTCCGCGCTGCGCGGGTTGACCGCACAAAGGTGGAGATAAAACTCCCACTAGACAGACACACGCACACACTTAGAAATACACATTACTATCCGATGCCCACTTAGACATACAAGGAACTTCACAAACCTACATACACATAGAATTATCCACGGTTTTAACACACGTGACACGTGTCCAACCTTGGATGGCAACTGGTCTACCGCAGAAAGAAATTGGCAACCTACCTGCCTCGTCAGTCATGTATCGAAAGTTACATGATCGTCTACGCGTGTATCACGCATGGCCCATAACCGACTGACTGAGTGTTCTGTGATAAATCCGCTCCAGCTCACCCGGCGCGAGATTACACCCGAATCACGCCACGGGATCTGGTTGGGGCCCCAGCCACTGCTTCGTGACCCTCGCTATTTTATAAACATTTACTTTTTTTTTTTTTACCTCCATTTATATACGTTACAAATTAAACTATAATTCACTATTAAAGAATGAAAGATTTTGCGGATTTTGAGGTCATTCTGGGGAGGGGGGGTTCAAATTCATGAATTTTTTTGTCCAAATTCATTAATTTTTTTTTTGCTCATGCTAAGTGTCGAAAAAACATTATATAAAATTCACTATTTTTCTCCATAATGTTAACTGTGTTAAAATTATTCGACTTTAACAAGAAAAATCTCAAGTTGATGTTAAAAATTGCTGCAAAACATTATTGACATATTTAAATGACCTATGATGACATGTCTCTAATTTGTAGAGGTGAAGAGGAGACTTGAAGCAACAGAAATGTGATTCTACAGAAGGATGCTGAGAATACCATGGACCGAACACGTGAGCAATGGGGAAGTTTTAGAGAAAATGGAAACAAAAAGAGCACTTATACATAGCACCAGAAAGAGACAGTTAAAATTTCTCGTGAACATAATGAAGAAAGAGGGCTTGGCAATTTTGACACTCGCAAGACATACTGAAGGCAAGTGGGACGGAGGAAAACAGCACATAAACTAACTAGAGAGTTTGAATAAATGGATGGCGCTAGGGGTTAAAGAGTGATAACAAAATGAGAAAATTTACTAAGAGAGACAAAGGTGAAATTGTGGAGAGCCATGATCGCCAACGTCACATAGAAGAAGAAGTAAAATGGATGACAGAAAAAAAACTTTAAATGGATGACAGAACAAAACTTAGGAGAGATAATACAATTATAAAAAATATTAATTGCTACAAATTCCAGGAAATTGTGGAGAGCCATTGTCGCCAACGTCCTGAAGGAACACAGCACATAGAAGAATAAGAATGAGTTCGTTTAAATGGATGGCAGAACAAGGTTTAGGAGAGATAACAAAAAGACAACAGTTATTAAAAGCTACAAAGAACAGGAAACTGTGGAGAACCATAATCATTAATGTCATGAAAGGACACAGAACAGAAGAAGGAGCAGCAACAGAAGAAGAAGAAGAAGAACAAGAAGAACAAGAAGAAATGCCTAAGGACGGGGAAGAAGTTTGAAGAGATGGTCAAAAGAAGAAGAAGAAGAAGAAGAAGCAGCAGCAGCAGCTCGAGTAAAAGGATTGCAGAAGAGGTTTTAAGAGAGATAATAAAAATACAAAATTTATTAAGAGCTACAAAGGGCAGGAAATTGTGGAGAGATGTGATCGTCAACGCCCTGAAGGGACGCAGCATATAGAAGAAAAAGAAGAAGAAGAATAGAAGAAGAAAAGATGAAAAAGAAGAAAGAGAAGAAAGAAGAAAAATAAGGAAGAAGAAGAAAGAAGATGGAGAAAGAAAAGGCAGAAGAAAAAGAAAAAAAGAAGCAGAAAGAAGTAAAAAAAGAAGACAAAAAAGGAAGAAAGAAAATGGAGAAGCGCGTTAACCAAATCAATGTTATAAGTGGTGAATATAATACAGCATTGCGTAGTTAGCGCTCTGCATATGAAACGCTAAACTAATCAATTTGTTACAAAGCATTTATAATGAAGCTGTAACCGGTTTAGTGTTTTGATGATTTTCTTCCTTTTAAAAACGCAACCAATACGAAATAACATAATCTATACATACAGTAACGTTTGTACCTATGTTTGGCATGTGCCTCGCTTGGTATCACTGATAGGGAAAGAGACGGAGAAATGGACATAGAGAGTAAAACAACGAGAAAGAGTGACTAAAAGAGAGTGAGTTAGTGAGATAAATGCAATTGTTTGTAGTGAGGGGTTAAATCCCCTTTCATTGATCTATTGGCATTTCAGTATTTTTAAGAGACTAGGTTAAATTTTCTTATAACTATCTGGGAATGGTCAGTGGCGGACTGAGTCTAAAAATATTGGTTGCCAGGAGATAAAGTGGGCCCACCCACAACTACAATGCTGTTATTTTATTTTCATAACGAATAAATAACATTTTTTTAAAATACAGATGTAGCTGTAAGTTCTATGCTAACAGTTTATTTTCTCGCACTTTTCGCTTGTGGAACTCCCTTCCGGCTTCATACTTCCCAGCCAACTTTAATCTACAAAAATTTAAATGCAATGTCAGTCGCTATCTACTGTCCAGATTACTTTTTTTCTTACCCCCACTCCTTATTAATGATTCTGTTCCTAACTCTTCCACACTCAGTAACACTCTTCTTGTGTCTTAGTGGCGTTAATGCCTTGATTGGGGGTGAAACTGATTAAAATTATGGGAAAAAAGGATACAATTATTAAAATTTTTGTGAAAAAAAATGCGCATTTCTTAGTAATTACAATCTAGACTGGCAGTAAATACAGAATATTATAATTCCATTTTTTTAAAAATTATTTTAATTTTAAGTAATTGGTCGATATTTTTAAATAATAGAGCATTGCATATAGTCCACTATATTAAGAGCAATCGTTTGTGTTCACTCCATCAGTACTACACAAAATGTTGATACGCGAACCCGTGCCGGTACGCGAGTTATCGTCTGCTGGTAAGTGAAGAGTTTCAAAGAAACAAAGAAACAGTAGTCACATTCCATGTCACTGGAGGCTGCCGGGATATCTGACTCAGTTTTTTTTTTTTTAAACTTTTCATTTTAGTTTTATGTTTATTATAGTTACATTTCTCAATTACTCACTCATGTTACTAACGAATGCG